CGCGGGCCTCCCCTTCTTCCCGCCTTTCCTCCTCGGCGGAGGCTGCGGCGGCGGCGGCCCAGCGGGGGCGCGAAGGGTGCCGCGGCCGCTGCTGCTGCTGCTGCCTGGGCCTGAAACAAGATGGCGGCCCCGAGCGAGTACTTCAGTGTGGGCAGCCAGGTGTCGTGCCGGACTTGCCAGGAGCAGCGGCTGCAGGGCGAGGTGGTGGCCTTCGACTACCCTACCAAGATGTTGGCGCTCAGTATCCTCACCGGAGAAGGGAAAAGGAGGGGCGGGGGAATGCCGGGGCCGGGCCTGCGAGTGAGCTTTTGGCGTTTGAGGGAACCGTAGGGGCGAGAGGGCTTGAGGCGGTTATGGTGACTGGAGGGAGCTTCATGAGGCTGGACTGTTGGAGACAGGGAAGATGCCCTTGGGGCGAAGGGAAGCCACGGGCATGGTTTTCCAGGAAGGGGAAGGGTTGGAGAGGAAGGGATGTGCCAGGCTGAATTGCCGGGCTACCTTTCGACCATGTGGGCAGGTGGTGATGGTGGATCTGGAGAAAAACATGAACTTATTTGTGAAGGGAAAGAGGGTGCGGGGAGAGGGAAGCGATTAGGTTGGGCAAGGAGAGGCCTATCTTGGGGATCTTGACAGGAAAGGAGGAATGGGGTGCTTCATGGTGGGAATGAAGAGGAAGGCAGAGATACATACGTATGTTGGTTTATTTGGTGACATTGGAAAAATATTGGAGTAGGAATTAAAGGAAGAATGCAGGGAAGGTGTGGTGGAGACCAGGTGAGAGTTTTGGTGAGAGAGCTGCCCTGTGTCAAGGGTGATCTATGTGTGGTCCTCCAAATGTTGAACTGCAGCTTCCACTGGACCTGGTGTTCATTCTAGGTATTGTTTTGGAATGATATGATTATCTTCTGTTAATATGACCAGGTTTTCATGAGGGTTTATATAAAATGTTTGATTTTGCTATCATGAATCAATGATTTTGTGTGAGGATAAATGTCAGCTTCAGGATATGTTCTAGCTACCTGTCATACATTGGAGTGGAATAGGTATAGGGAAATGGGCTAATGTGTACTTGGGGAGGCTTCACAAAATGCTGAGGTCTGTGAAGATTCAGGCAGTCCTAAACATGTGAATCTAGACAGTGACTAGCAGCAAGAAATGCTGTCTGGAAATTAAAGGAGCTGGCTTAAGGGAGGGGGATGGACTGCTATTTTTTTCATACATCACAGAGCAAGGCCCTGTGTGCTTCATCTTTTTTCTCTGCTATGGCAGCAATGATAGGTTTAGTAGAAGAGCTGCTTTTGTATTGTATATGTTGGTAGGTTCAGTTAAATGAGGAGTTGATTAGAAGCATCCTAAATTTCAGGAGGATTTTAACATTGGCATCGGAATTTACCCACGTTAATTTCCGAAATGACTGAGCTTCAGGACAGATGGAAGGAAGTGATTCTTCACACAGCACATAAAATACAAAAATCACTGTCACAAGTTGTGATCACCATCAATATGGATTATTGTAAAAGGTTAGACAAATTTATTGAAGATGGCTATCAAGAGTCACAAATCTGGATGCTTTCTCTGACATCAGAGGCATTTTGCCTACTAGTTGTTCTGCCGCATGAGCAGGAGGATGCTGCTGGTCTCATGTCTTGCTTACATACTTTCATCTGGCTGGTCACTTTGGGAACAGGATGCTGGACCAGATAGTGCTAGAAGTAACACTGATATATGTTCTGGTTTACCTGATATCTTACTCAGTTATAAGTGGCTAAAAACATTTGCATCAGTTCATGAGTTATCTACTTATATGTCTGGTAATTTGAGTGGTAAAGCTGGTGGGCTATAGAAATGTTTGGCTACCTAAATGTTTTCATTGCATTAATGCCAGTATCCTACTACTAGTCCCAACAAGAGTAGGCCCAGTGGCTAGAATCCAGCAGTAAGTTGCAATCAGAGTAGACTCATTAAATCAATGAGGATGTGGTGAATCAGCTCCTCTGTAAGTTCAGTTGATTCAGTGAGCCTACCCTAGTTGTAACTTACTACTAGATATGAGCCACTGAATCTATTGCTGACTGGTAAAGCAACAGTTATAGAAATCCTATTGGGCCAGTGCTTTTACTGTAGCTGGGGCTAGCAGTTTGGTACTGGCCATAGTATTCTTATTTCACCTGTTACAAAGTTTGGTCCTGTATTAGGTTTCCTGGAATTTAGCCTGGCTGGATGCTTGAGTGAACTAACTCTTCATTGCTTGTCTTCTGGGCAGTTAGATGATGCTTTCTAATACCCCTCCAGCCTGGTGGGGGAATGTAGCATACATCCTCCTCAGCTGAATCATAGGTGGGGAATAATGGGAGTAGTACTTCAGGGGAAGACCAGCTTGGGGAAGGCTACTTTGTTGTAACATGTCATCTGCATGTTGCAAAAGTCAGGGTTTTATTTTTGGTACAAAATGTTGCTAATCAATTGTAGCTACAAGGTGGGTATTCACAAAGCTCTCATGAAACCAGTATAGACACTACAAGTATTCCTAGCTGACAGCCCTGACAATCAAACATTGTAAGTGCTGTTCTTTCAAATGGAACTCAATAATTCTTTTCTCTCATGAGATGGTGATTTCTATATTTGTGGATTTATTTCCTTAATGATTTCGTTCTCCAGAATGCCCTTCTTCAAGTGGCAAAGCTAACCATGCAGATATCTTGCTTGTAAACCTACAGTATGTTTCAGAAGTGGAAATAATTAATGGCCGTACAGAAACTCCCCCACCTTTAGCTTCACTCAATGTTAGCAAGGTAAGAATATTTTGTAAAGCAGTTTTTCTTGTCAGTGAGTACTGAACATCTACTTGTTAAAAATGACTTAGTCTATAGTTAACTACATAGCTAATAGACCACAGTCTTCATTTTAAACCATGACAGTCTTCCATTTGAGAATAAGTTGGATCCCAGTTACCTAAATCTAGATTTGACTGATGCACTTGGATCTTCCTGGTTATCATTGAAATGGGATTTGATATGCTTGCCATGGGGGCTAAATCTACTTCCTGCAGAGCACCTAATTCATACCACTTTATTTCCTTCTGGATGACTGATTGCTGTACCTTTTGTATATTCCATAGAAACCTCCACCTCTGATTACCACAGATGTGGGGGAAATTATAAAAATGTAGAAGGGAATGAAAGAAGTCATAAGCACTGGCCTTTGGAGGTGCCCCACACCGTGTCCTTCTCTGTGTTTGTGTGGGGTTAACTGTTGGGGAATCCCCTGCCTTTTTTACAGTGGTAGAGTCTCTGCATACTGGTGAAAAGAAAGTTTGCTATGTAGCAAATCATGGGATTTGAACTGGAAATGCAAGATACTAATTTTAAAAAATCAAATCATGTGATTGTTGTATTTTACTGAGAGGCTTACTACTACAGTGACAACTTAACTACCTCACGGACATTTGTTTACAAAGCTGTAATTTGCTAAGTGGGTTTGCTCTTTGTATCCACTAGAAAACTAGCTCCCTGAACAAGATCATCATATACCTTTTGGAGCAACATATTTGCCCCTTCTCCTCCATCGAGGAAGGCTGCCTTATATAAAAAAAGTCTTTCTTGTCACATTATTTATGATTGATAACACAGACTTTTGGAAATAAAGTTTAGTTCGCACAGAAGAAATAAGCCTCTCTTTGTGAACTAGGCCAAGGGAGGCCATTGTTGCTATTCCATTGCCTAACTCATGTTTATGAGTAACTTGTATCTCCGACTCCTCTAATGTTTGCAGACATCCTTACAGTTTCACTTTGATGCAGCATAGGACAATGGACTTGTTAACTGTAGTCTCCGTCCCTGTCTCCCATTCTGTCCATTTAACAAACATCTCATGACTTCTAAATCTTGTAATTCTCCATAACTGTTGTCTACTGTGCATTCTTGCGAGGTTATTTCAGATGGCTGGAGGGCTTCAGGTCATGAAATTAGATTTGTCACATCTGTCATCTCAGTATTGTTTCTTGCAAACAGAACTCTATTTAAGACTTGAAGTCTCTGCTGCTGTTTGTGGTCTAAGATTAAGATCTTTGCATCCCTTCTTTTTCTTTCCAGCTTGCAAACAAAGCACGGATGGAGAAGGAAGAAAAGCTGAGCCAGGCATATGCAATTAGTGCTGGGGTCTCTTTGGAAGGACAACAACTTTTCCAGACTATACACAAGACGTAAGTAGTAGGCATGAGAGGAAGAATGTGGGTTAGAGAGTAGTCAAGTAGCAGTACCAGATTACTGCACACCAAAATGGCTGTGAAGTGTGTTTGGCCCTCACAAATGTTTTGTGATTATACCAGATGTTCCTCCAACACGTTTCTTTGTGTATTTTTTCCTACATTCCGGAAAACCTGGGGCCCAAAAGCAAAATGTTTCACTTTCCTCTGTTTCCATTTCTGTTTGCAGCAGAATGTGCTGGGGATTCTGAGCGTGTGTAATTTGGATTATCATGGTGTAGAATTTGATAGCTTCCTAGGTGCAAAATAGATATTGTTTGGGCCATAGCTGTTTGCCTCACGTGTGACAGGAATACTGCTGAAGATGCTGTGAAGAAAGAAAATGTGTAGGGTGTATTATACAACTTAACAGAGATGTGCCTGATTTTGAAATTGTATTGCTGAAACAATGGTTAGGAATTCTATTTCATAAAGCTTCTAGTTTTTCAGACGATTTGTGGAGTGCTAATTTGACTGCTGTGTCAGCTGCCAAGGGCAAAGACATAAAGCACAACATTTGTATAGCAAAAAGTTACTATGTTGCAGAAAGTGTATAATAGTGCTTGTAAAGGCAGAGGGTATTCTTATCTAAACAGCTGAATATGTCAGAACTAGAGATGGGACCCAAATCAATTCGGACCCCCTCATCTAACTATCTCTGCATGGCAGCATAGGTGCTGTGTGACCCCTTGTCCCACCCCTAGACCCTGCCCACCTCCTCGTTGGAGTGATTGGCTGCTAGGGGAGTAGGGGGAGTGCCAGCTGGTGTACCGCCAGAGCAAAAGGACCCCGACAGCACGGGATAGAAGGTGAGTGTACCAGCTTGTTCAGGGGAGGGACGAGATCTTTGCATGACAGGATTCGAATTGACTCGGTCCCATCTCTACTCACAACAGTGTGTGGAACTGCAGAGGATACTGTTCCTTAAAGCAATTTATATGGCATGTCAGGTACAGCAAGCAAAAGTTACACATGACAGCAACTTCTTATAATCTGATAATTAGCATCATCAGTATATCCTGAAATTATGAAAGTTACTTTTTAGGACTAAATCTCCCAGAATGTTTCTAAGATCATTGGCCAAAAATCATGTTCCTAAGTTGTGAATATTTCCACATATCAGACTTGGATGTCACAGAGCTCAAAGTAGAATTGTGTGTACATTCTGCTTCTTGTCCTCGCATGTCACTATATCAGACTGGTACCTTCAGCGATTTTGAATCTGCCCTGAATCGCCTGTAAATATGTGATGGAAACCCATGCTGGATATTTGCTGGAAAGTATTACGTAATTCCAAATGAATACCCAGTAATTTCTCTAAATGTGGTAGATTCCAAGGCTATTCTGTAACAAAAATCCCAACAACAGAAATGTTGAATCATTTTGTAGATGTTGTTCTTTAATACTCGTAGGTGTTAGAATTCAGTTGTTTATAAAAAGTGAAAATACCTAAATGCCATTACAATTCTCTGCAAGCCTGCCGTGCTGTTCAGAACAAATATATCAGATCCACTGATCCAGTACTGATTCTGGAAGATACTGTATCATAGTCTTGACTAAGTAAGAGTCTAGTCTAGAACCTCCTTTTTTATTCTATATTAATCATAGAAGAGAATCTCTCCTGATCTTCCCTTCCTTGTTATGTATACTGTGGAACTAAGCTGTTAACCTGTTGCTCTCGAGTACACAGTGAGCTTGTGGCTGCTGCCAAAAAGAGTCTTTGTGTATTGCATATTAATGAAAAATATGTGATGGAAACCCATGCTGGATATTTGCTGGAAAGTATTACGTAATTCCAAATGAATACCCAGTAATTTCTCTAAATGTGGTAGATTCCAAGGCTATTCTGTAACAAAAATCCCAACAACAGAAATGTTGAATCATTTTGTAGATGTTGTTCTTTAATACTCATAGGTGTTAGAATTCAGTTGTTTATAAAAAGTGAAAAATACCTAAATGCCATTACAATTCTCTGCAAGCCTCCCGTGCTGTTCAGAACAAATATATCAGATTCACTGATCCAGTACTGATTCTGGAAGATACTGTATCATAGTCTTGACTAAGAGTCTAGTCTAGAACCTCCTTTTTTATTCTATATTAATCATAGAAGAGAATCTCTCCTGATCTTCCCTTCCTTGTTATGTATACTGTGGAACTAAGCTGTTAACCTGTTGCTCTCGAGTACACAGTGAGCTTGTGGCTGCTGCCAAAAAGAGTCTTTGTGTATTGCATATTAATGAAACCGAACAAAATTCTGTATGTGGTTCACGAAAACCTCCTTGCTGTTACTAATATTGCAATAAGAGGAGATAGTACTAGTGCCCCTGCTTCCGGTATGCCTTTGTCTAGTCTTACATCTAGTAAGGCTTCTAAATAAGTAGATATGAAGTCTTTAAGTAGGGAGAAATTTTTAGGAACAAAAGACCGTAAGTATGCTTTCTGCAGCACTAGAGTGACTAAGATGGCATGTTAATTATTTTTCTTCACAACCTGATCCTTGTTTCTCCGGGTTTTTGTCTTTGTCCCACGTATTCCTGTTGAGTTTTATAGTACCCTCTCGCCTTCTCCAGCTTTGTTATGCTTTTTGGACTACAAGTCCTAAAGTTCTTTAGTTAACACGGCCAATGGAAATTGTAGTCCCAAAAGTAGTTTTTCCAAAATCTAAGCAAGGTGTTTGTGACCAGGAAAGTGAGACTGGAGTGGCCATCTGTTCCCCTCTTGTATTATGCAATTTTGGCTGTTAATCTGGTGACCCTATGCATTTATTTGCTATTATAAAGCTAATGAATCCCATGTTGCTTCTTCTAGTATTAAAGATTGTAAATGGCAAGAGAAGAATATAGTCGTGATGGAAGACGTTGTCATTGCCCCTCCGTACCAAGTGGAAAACTGTAAAGGCAAAGAGGGGAGTGCCCTAAGTCATGTACGCAAAATAGTAAGTAGACAAAGATTGGAGGACTGGGGGTGGGGAGAAGTCAACACGGGGATGACATGTTAAAGGCAGTCAGGCTAAATAAGACTGACATTATCCAAATCCTAAACACATTGTCATATTCCTGTCAGCCTTTAGCTAGTTTTTGATTGCCATAAAGATCTGTCCTGAAGGTGCCCATTTCCTCTCCCACAAAAATTGAAGCTATAGCTCATTCAGGTGGTAGTCTTATTCATTGAAGCGAAAGAGATTTCTCTTTACAAATTAATAATTACATGCTGCCAAGTCAATTCTGACTCATGGCAGCCCTTTCAGGGTTTTTAAGTGTGCAGGCTTCCATGTAGTTGATCATTTCCCCCTTATGGTGGTACTTCGGACCCCTGTAGCTTTTCCAAGGCCCTACAAATGTCAGGGTGTATCATCAGCCACATAGACCCTTCTTGAGAAGCAGAACTGGGATGTGAACTCGCTGCCCCTGGAACTCTGTAACCTGCGTTCCAGCCCACTGAGGTGAACTAGCTCTTTTCATTGCTGCTGTGATAAGACACAATCAAAAACATAAAATTTCTTGAATAGCTAAAATTAAGTAATTTAAACATTGGCAGTGCTTTTCTTAGAGAAGCAGAACACTTATGCTAGCATTCTTCCAATGCCCCATGCATCCTTCCAATATACTTTCTTCAGCTGCGTTGTAGGTGGAACTGTTTAGTTTGTGGCCTGAGAGGAAAGCTTCGCCCCCCCCCCAAGTTGCCTATACTCCTTTGAAAACATAATGATTCCGCTTCCTAGGACTTAGCAGAGCTCATTGGTTATACGTTGCCCCATAAATGTAAATTTTTTCAGCTACGCTGCTGATGTTTTAGGTTGCAGTTCCTGTTTGCCCTTAATCATTGTGGCAGTCTGAAGACCGCTGGAGCAGAAATGGGCTAACTATGCTGTGTACATTTCCACCAGAGGCTTAAACATCATACTCTCTTATCCTCAATCTTTTAGTTAAAAATCCCACAGGTACCCTTTAGTTTCCCTGTTCTTCCTCCCATTCACCTATCCTACATTGTTTTATGCTCTGAGAGGGCCTTTTTAAAAACCAGAGGTGCCCAGCAGTTACTTCTAGCTTTGAAAATTGCTCTTCCCCAGCCTAAAGGAAACCATGGTGGACTGGGAAAAAAAGTATGATGTTAACCCTGCATATTCTAGAGGATGGTGGGGGTAGGTTTCAACTAAGTAAGAGAAAATGTTGAAGGTGTGGGGGTGCGGAGAGCCCTGGGAAGTGTAGACTCTAGTCTACACTTCCCAGTAGACATTTACGGGGCAACCTGTAACCAATGAGCACTGCTAAGTCCTCTACACTGTAGAGGGTTATGTGTGTGTAGGCCCAGCTCTCTAGATGTTGCCCACCCCTGACCTAAGCACATCAGGCAAGACCTTAGTTTGCTGATTACTGTACTGAATATGATCAGGATTAATACCTTCACTTTCTTGTTCTCCTCCATCCAGGTTGAGAAGCATTTTAGAGATGTTGAAAGCCAAAAGGTGATGCAGCGTTCACAAGTGCAGCCAACACAGAAGGAAAGCGCCCTCTCATCCTGAGTCCCGCCTGCCCTTCCTGGTTGCGACAGATTGCTCCTGCGGGGGGTGGGGGTGGGGGGAACCCTTCGAACACGCAGCAGTGGATGACACAGACTTCTTTTTTCGAAAAGAGGTCAGGGGAGGGCAGGGGGGTTCCACTTCTTTTTTGCGGTGGCCCTGTAATGATGGGACCCACAGCTTCCGGACTTTAGACTTCAAAAATAAGAGAATAATTTAAAAACTCATTCATTACTTGACTAACAGACTCTTTACTTTGCCCATCAGGTTTCCCCCCAAAACAGTCAGCTGTCTTGTATTTGAAGTTTTTCTCCCTCCCACAATCTTTTTTTTTTTTAGCTTTAAAGAAATCAGTTCCATGCCACCCTTATTCCTCCTGTATCATAAATAGGAGAATTCATTTTCCCACTTGTCCTATTAAAAACATAGAGAAAACAGAAAATAACAAGCTGACTGATATTGTAATCGGGACCTTTGTGTGACTGGCGATCTCTCATTTTGGTTTTTGTTTGCACAGGGCAAGGCTTGAATTAGCCTTATTTTTCTTATCTCAAAATATATATATAATAAATATATATATATATAAGATGTCCTTTAAATATTTTCTGCTTCTTGCAGTACTCGCAGCAGGGATCATGGCAGAAAAAAAAAAAACCCAGAAAAACAAATGCATGTTTCTCTGCTAATCAATCTGGCCTTTTGCAGGCAACATTTTTCATGCATAACTCTGGAGATTGCCCAAGTGTTGAAGCCAGGGCTTTATTTGGGGGGGGGCATAGCCTGTGGCAGGAGAACACAGATGGATTGCAGCTTTTTTCTTATGGTCTTTCACAAGTTGAGCTTGTATGTTCCTTTTCCCCCCCATAAATCAGATCTCTGGGAATGCTGCTGTTTTGGAGCTGCTGAGCAACAACCTACGGTACTCTTGGGAGTAATTTTATTCTCTCAAAGGATATGAAAACTTGAAGTTCTTGGAGCTTCCATGTTGTTCATGGGCTGTTCCTTTGGCCATACCAAAGCACACCTGGAACTCTCTGTAGAACAAGGTTGCTTGAGTAGAGCCTGTGGCTGACATATGTATATCTTGCACCTTGTATTCCAACCTGGAGTTGGAAAGAGACATGAAGGTTTAGAGTAAGTCAATACATGGTTGTGCTCAGCTTCAGTCTTAACTGCACTGGCCTCTTTCCTCTGAAATAAATAGTTCTGAAGAGATTGGACAGTGGGTGAACCTGGGATCCTTTCGGTTTTGAGAGATGCACTTTTTTGTTGCTCCTCCTGGCAGTGGTGCCTAGTTATATCAAAGTAAATATAAGTGCCATATGTCATTTGTACTTTGCTCCTCGTTGAATACATGTCCATAAGGCACAAGTAGCCATTGTTTGGAGAAATAAAATGTGATGCTCTTGGGGAAAACCATCTCCATGCTGTGGGTAGCGAAAAACTACTTGCAGATAGTACCTGCTTTCAAAAAGTGTTGTTCCTGCCCAGATCACTGGCATTCCTAAATTCTAGCTTGCAATTCTGGGGTACATTTCAGTACATAGTGTTCTGATCAGCTTTTAATCTCAAGGACCCTAGTCACAGAGTGGTCTTCAGTGATACTGCATATATCCGATTTGTATCTCCCAGGCTGACCGCTCCTCATAAACATCCTTGCCTTGGAATTTTTTCGCGAATAAATTGATTTTGATTTGGACAACAGGTCGGTTTACAGAGAACTTTTCTTGCCATGATCTCTTCTTCCCTTCCCCCTTTTTTTTAAAGAAATGGATCAAATTTTAAATAATTCAAGCCCTGCCTTTCAGAATGGAGGGATTTTTTTTTAGTATTGTCTAGCAAAACCAATAAAAACCCAGAATTTTTTTAACCATCAAACAGGCATGTGTTGGTGGCTTTCTGTCTTTGAGGGTTTGGAGGTATAGGGTGGTTGGAGATGAAGGGATTGGAGGTATAGGGTGGTTGGGGATTAAGGGATTGGAGTCAAATTGAAGAACCAAGGGGCAAAAGGCAGTGGATCTACAAATATGCCAGTGGATACACAGTGTCATCCGTGCAAACTTTTCACAAGTGGTTATGTATGTACATTACCTCTTACACACAATTAGTATATCCAGTCCATTTTTAATGGGTGTCTTGTTCATAAAATACTTGAATGTGTTGATACTCTCATTCTCAGTCACAACAGGTAAGAACAAACAAAATACAGCCACTGGCCTTGGAACAGGGACTGGAAGTAGAAAACTTTACTACTTTTCAACCATACACTTTTCAGCATACATTTAAAAAAAAACTAAACAAAACAGCAAAGAAATCCAACAACTACAGAGCATCCATCTAATTTAACTAGATCACATGGGACATTATCTCCTGTATCACTTCTATGTCAGCACTAACTCTTGAATGCATAATTTGGGACCAAGGGTGATGAGCATAGTTCCCACATGAGTACCCCTCACCTCTTTTTCTGGAGAAGGTCTATCCATTCCATTAAGGAAAAAAACCTGCAGCTCATTTTACTCCCTTGAATAAATAAAATATCACTACTCCCATTCCTACACACAGCTCTGAGTTAGGTCTTGCTTCTATCCTTTCTCTTGCTGAAAATCATTTGGTGAGAGAAAGCAAGGTAATTCCAGATTGATGGGGGTGTAGATTAGTTTGTGATGGGAAATTGATTCATCTTAGTTCTGGACTAAAGCAAGAAAGCTCAAACAAAATTTTCTTTTATTGATTTTTTAAAAAAGGTACTGGTGAGTCAAGTAGGAAATCTGTTGATATGGGACATAGTTAATGTTGGTTGCCTTCATCTTAGGATAAGCCTGTGCTAATAAAACGGTGAATTCCACCTACCACAGAAAACAGGATGATGGGAAGGAAGTCTGCAATCCATTCAGTGTGGAAGTTAGCAATTCTCTAAGGAGAAATTTATCACAAATGTGGACACTTTACATTGTGTCCTGTTTTGAAATTTATGGCAGTGTGTTGACTGAAGTTGGATATTATTATAGCGGTACAAGTGCATATTAGCACAAAAGGATTTCCCCTTTGCCATTTCTACACAAGTGCACTGATATTCTGTTAACTAAATAAAGGTGACAAGGTCCTAAGTTATGCTCCAGTAGGAGAAAAGCTCTTCTCTAGCTTTATCTCAAATGAAGGTCAAGATGGTTGATACTGTATTATTACATCACTAAAAAAACTTGATATCATAAGATAGTTTTTGACCCCATAGAGGTCTTCATTGGCCAGTGCAACATGGAGCTGTGGATGCTGCGAGGGGACAGGGGACCCAAAACTCATGACTTCCTTTGTCAAAAGGAAGTTTCCAAATGGCTTGTTTAAAATCTGGCTTTCACACTAGATAAGCCAATTGCAGCCAAATTAATAGTATTACCTAGTGGCTGGAGGAAGATCTTTTCTTTCTAAATTTAAACTTTATAATTAGACAATATTTTCCTTACCAGACCAAATCAAACAGCCCCTAGAACACAGCCCCTAGAGCATAGTTTCCAGCAGCAGTTCTGATACCACACAAGGCATCATGAGGCAATAAAGCCAGACCTGATTAATCTGAGAATTGCTATGGCAGGGAATGCTAGGACACAGAGGTCTTACAGATTCTGTATGGCTAAGGATTTGTGCTCCTGCTGAGATATGTGGCCCATGTCCTGCCTAGCATTGTGAACTGGCAGTCCTGGAGGAGAGCAGAAAGCTGGAAAGCACTGGGCTTAAGGGAGATGTTGAGGCTTCTGGCTGTTGTGATGGTGGCACTTCTCTGTGTGTCACTGTTCTGTAATATTCTTCACAAAATCTATTCTCCTGCTGGCTCTTACACCATGGCTTGCAGATGGAAATGGAGAAAAGCCTGTGTGCAGTTTAGTCGCCAGGATCCAGTTCTACTGTGGTGCAATTACAAGTGCATGAGAAGCATTTCAAACAAATAGTGCAATCCAAGGAAAGGTTCTCAGGGAAGTGGTCGGGCAGAGCACTGGGAAGTGTCTGCTTGACTGTGGCTCAAAAGGACTTCATGTAGAATTTCTCAGCATGGCCAGAGGGTCATGTGAATGCTGCTGTGGTGGCACCTTTTGAACTGTAAACACTAACTTTGCCAATTCCCTAATCATAATCTCAAGGAGAGCCCAAGGCTGCTGTCTTGGTCTGTGGTGTAATGGAACCGGGCGCATGGGGCTAAAGCACCAGGTTGGAACACCAAGAATTAGTAGGGATGATTGCATTGTGTTCTCTCCTCTACAGCTACGCCACTTTGTTCCCTGAGTTTAGTTGCAGCCTTCACTGCAGGTGGGGGGAGGGAGATAGGCTTTTTTAACAATACAGTGGTGCCCCGCATAGCAACGATAATCCGTTCTGAAAAAATCATTGCTATGTGGATTCATCGCTATGCGGGGCAAAAAAGCCCATAGGAATGCATTAAAACACGTTTAATGCATTCCTATGGGCAAAAATCTCACCATTATGCGGAAATCCTCCATGCGGTCGCCATTTTCGCTGCCTGGTAAGCGAGGAAAGGGTGCGAAAACACAGTGGGGGCCATTTTCTTTACCCAGCAGCCATTTTGGAACCGCTGATCAGCTGTTAAAAAAACATCGCTATGCGAAAATCAGTAAGCGAAACACCGATCATCGCAAAGCAATGTTTTACTATTAGAAACATCGCAATGAGATCGCACAAAACACATCGCTATGCGGATTCGTCGTTAAACAAATCGCTTGTTATGCGGGGCACCACTGTACATTGATTTGAATTCTCTGTAGTATTGCAAAACGTTTGAAGATAACTATGATGCATCCACTTTACAAATAACTACTAGTGATGAGAACTCTGATAAAGATCAACACAGCCATTTGCAGATTTAGACTCTGTGTTCTAGCTGTTTTCATTTTCACAGAGAACTTGTCTTTTGTCAGGCTTGTTGTTGTTTTGTCGTTAAGTCGTATCCGACTCTTCGTGACCCCATGGACCAGAGCACACCAGGCCCTCCTGTCTTCCACTGCCTCCCGGAGTTTGGACAAATTCATGTTGGTAGATTCGGTGACACTGTCCAGCCATCTCATCCTCTGTCATCCCCTTCTCCTCTTGCCCTCACACTTCCCCAAAATCAGGGTATTTTCCAGGGAGTCTTCTCTTTTCATGAGATGGCCAAAGTATTGGAGCCTCGACTTCAGGATCTGTCCTTCCAGTGAGCGCTCAGGGTTGATTTCCTTTAGAATGGATAGGTTTGTGCTCCTTGCAGTCCAAGGAATTCTCAATAGTCTCCTCCAGCACCACAATTCAAAAGCATCAATTCTTCGACGGTCAGCTTTCTTTATGGTCTAGCTCTCTCTTCCATACATCGCTACTGGAAAACCCATAGCTTTGACTATGCGGACCTTTGCCAGCAAGATGATGTCTCTGCTTTTTAAGATGCCGTCTAGGTTTGTCATCGCTTTCCTCCCAAGCAGCAGGCGTCTTTTACTTTTGTGGCTGCTATCACCATCTGCAGTGATCATGGAGCCCAAGAAAGTAAAATCTGTCAAGACCTCCATACCTTCCCCTTCTATTTGCTGGGATGTGATGGGGCCAATAGCCATGATCTTAACCCAAAATGTTCCTTTAATATCTTGAGCAGATCTCTGGTTTTTCCCGTTCTATTATTTTCCTCTATATCTTTGCACTGTTGATTTAAGAAGGCCCTCTTGTCTCTCCTTGCTATTCTTTGGAAGTCAGCATTCAATTTTCTGTAACTTTCCCTATCGCCCTTGCATTTTGTTTCCTTCTCTTCTCTGCTAGTTGTAAGGCCTCGTTGGACAGCCACTTTGCTTTCTTGCATTTCCTTTTCTTTGTGATGGTTTTTGTTGCTGGCTCCTGTACAATGTTACAAGCCTGTATCCATTGTTCTTCAGGCAGTCTGTCCACCAAATCTAGTTCCTTGAATCTGTTCTTCACTTCCATTGTGTATTCATAAGCGATTTAGTTTAGATAATACCTGATTAGCCCAGTGGTTTTTCGTACTCTCTACAGTTTAAGCTTGAGTTTTGCTATAAGAAGCCGAAGATCAGAGCCACAATCAGCTCTTGTTTTTGCTGACTGTAGGGAACTTCTCCATCTCTGGCTGCAGAGAACATAATCAATCTGATTTCGGTATTGCCCATCTGGTGATGTCCATGTGTAGAGTCGCCTCTTGTGTTGTTGGAAAAGAGTGTTTGTGATGACCAGCTTGTTCTCTTGACCAAACTCTATTAGCCTTTGCCCTGCTTCATTTTGAACTCCCAAGGCCAAACTTCCCTGTTGTTTCTTTTATCTCTTCACTCCCTACTTTAGCATTCCAGTCCCCTTTAATGACAAGAACATCTTTCTTTGGTGTCAGTTCTAGAAGGTGTTGTAAGTCTTCATAAAATTGGTCAATTTCAGCCTCTTTGGCATCCCTGGTTGGTGCATAAACTTGGATGACTGTGATGCTGAAAGGTCTGCCTTGGATTCGGATTGAAATTATTCTATCATTTTTGAGATTGTATCCCATTACAGCTTTTCCCACTCTTTTGTTGACTATGAGGGCCACTCCATTTCTTCTATGGGATTCTTGCCCAGAATAGTAGATATGATAATCGTCTGAAATGAATTCACTATTCCCGTGCATTTTAGTTCACTGATGCCCAGAATGTCAATGTTTATTCTTGCCATCTCCTGTTTGACCACATCCAGCTTACCAAGGTTCATAGAGCTTACATTCCAGTTTCCTATGCAGTATTTTTCTTTGCAGCATCGGACTTTCCTTTCACTTCCAGGCACGTCCGCAGCTGAGCTTCCTTTCAGCTTTGGCCCAACCACTTCATTAGCTCTAGAGCTACTTGTACTTGTCCACGTTCTGACCTGAGGGGCTCATCTTCCAGCATCATATCTTTTAGCCTTTTGTTTCTGTCCATGGACTTTTCTTGGCAAAGATACTGGAGTGGCTTGCCAGTTCCTGCTCCAGGGGGATCGCATTTAGTCGGGACTCTCCACTATGACCTGTCCGTCTTGGGTGTCCCTGCATGGCATAGCCCATAGCTGCTCTGAATTACTCAAGCCCCTTCGCCAGGACAAGGCAGCAATCTGTGAAGAGGTTTGTCAGGCTAATGAATCTCAATTGCCTATTCAAAGCCAAGCAGCCACCAGCACCCAGTGACTTTGCATTGCTGCGGAGATATAGCTCACAACAACATATTGCTGGAAAAATCAACTGCCTCTCTGCAGCTACTGTGAAGGGACATGCCTGGCCAACTTTCCTCCACGTTACAAGCTTCACAAGCAGTAATGCTTCTGTTCTTAGACCAGCCGATTAAGATGGCAAAATTTCAGGAAGTTCCTTCCTGCCATGTCTGAGTGTGAAAGGCAGGAAAGCTTCTGTATGTTGACTGCTACCAGCAGAGGCCAAGGTAAAGGTTTATTGTATGTTGTCAACTCAATTCTGATTTATGGTGACACTTTTCAGGGTTTTGTAGGTAGAGAATAATCAGAAGTGGTTTGCCATTCCTTTCTTCTGAGACTGTGCAGCTTATCCAAGGCCACAGAGACTGGCTTTTCTGGGATGCACAGTAAGGAACCGAATTCCCAACCTCTAACTTCACAGGCAGATGCCTAACTCACTGAGCTGACTTGTAAAGAAAACAAAACATTTAGGTTAGAAATGCAAATAGAAAGCAATACATTTCAAATAGATCTGTTTTCCTTACAAATATGGGGTTGTTGTTTTTTAAATATGCTTTGACATTTGCCAGCGCCCCTTGATTTCTGCTCCATAAATAATTTCTGCAGATAGATGGGTGTCAAAATTATTTACTGCTGCAAAAAAAGTTAACATTTGTAATAGAAACTGCAGTTGTGACAGCCTGCAGCCTTGTTGATTTGCAGCAGCCTTTTCAACCATGTTTCTCATGAAACCGGATGCCAAAATATTTAGATCTGTTGGATATCGATGTTATCCATTTTCTATTCTCAAAAAAGCATTTCTTCACATCATGGCTGGCTCTGTTCCCTTAAATAGGATGGGATTCGCTCTTGATGCTGATGAGCATTTGATACTCAGTAAACGCATCAGTGGGTCACCTCTTTGTTTCCATATTAATAAATGTATGGGCGATGGCCAATACTGTATTACAAAGAACATGGGCACTGGAGATGTTTATATCAGCAGTCCTAAACGCCCCCGTGTGGTGATCCATGTATTCTAATGGAGGTGGCAGTGAGGGGGAACATTCTCTATCTGTGATTTAAAAAGAAAAAACACCAAAGCTCACTTAAGGAAGGGAAGGTCAGAGAAGGAGATGGCTTTCTCTGGGGCTTCTCCCATAGTTGGGGAATGCTCTCCCTTGGGAACTTAGGTTGGCCCCCTTCTTTTTATCCTTCCACTGACTGTTGAAGATCCACAGGATATTAGCAACCATCAGTGAGTCCCTGGATGCTGGTTTTTGCTAAGCTAAGTTTGCTTTTAAAGTTTTAAATGTTTTTTTTTAACATCTCAATGTATTTGTAATAATTATTATAGCTGAACTGTATTTGAATTGCATTTTTTTGGTGTTTTTAATTTTACTTGTTTTAACATTGTGAGCCCTCTTGACTTCCCTCATCAGGAGAAAGGTCACTTATAAATATTATTAAATACTGTAAATACAGTAAATGTTATCAGGTGTGTATGAACTTTTGCAATTTCCCCTTCTGTAACTTTGAATTAAATGGGAAACATCTCTGGCAGCTGCAGGGCTTGCTTAGTTCCTCTTTCAAGAAAGGTGTGTGTGGGGGCTTCAGGGGACCGGATCTTTCCCAAAGAAGGAAGGCTTTGATGACAGGTCACCTTCTCTTTTTATGGGGACACACACACACACACACACACACACACCCCAGATGGTCCCATGGACCCTGGAATGGCACTTTTAGAGAAGTGAATAGGCAGGGTTCATGCATCATTGGCATTCTCCATGTATCTAGGTTGATGGAGGGTTTCCTGTACTTCTCGTCTACATCTCGTGCAGAACTACCAAAATCTGCAAGCATGTTGGATGGTGCATCTTGGGAACTATCAATCAAATGAACAGAACTATCAAATGAGAAGGAAGGAAGAAAAGAGCCTTCTTAAGCCCGCGGAAGCTGCCATATAGTTATACAAACTCATATATTGGTCCGTTTAGCCCAACATTGTCAAGACAGACATGCGCAAGCTTTCTGGAGTTTCAGGAAAGTTCCTTTCCTAATGCAGATTAAATTTTGCAAGAAGCTGATTTCTATCCCCATTCCAGATTTTCTCCCCAGGTGTGGAGCTTTACTCAGGTAAGATCAGTCTTGCCCCACTTGTAAAGAATCTGCCAATTCAGGGGTGCCTGCCTTTGCCACTCCTTGAGTGAACAAAGCCACGATAGGATGGGCATAGGAAGATGCTGTTAATAATAGACGAGGTGCCAGGGGAATGATATTACCTGCTTGGCATGAGGATGTGGGTGTTCAGTGACTGAAACACGATGCTTGCCGGAGTCAACTATGTTTTCATGAATTATGAAGTGAGAATCGTCGGCTAGTAGTCGGTCTCTCTCTCTTTCTCTCTCTCTCAACAGCAGTTTAGTGGTTAAGGTTCTCCACCAGGTTCAGACAAATCCCAAATGAGTAACCATCAGCTTGATTTGTATGAGGTCTGGACAGAAGTGGAATGGGCTGATTTGATTGCAGGGTGAAGCAAAGTAAATGCACAAATTAGATGAAGCACAGGTATCTTGAGCCTTTTCCTTTCTCTCTTTTTAGTAAAAGAAGCACACTTGAAGAATGTCTGGTACATAGTACCCAGTGTGCTGTAGTGGATAGAGTGATGGACTAGGAGGCCAAGAGTCATATCCTTGCTTGGCCATGGAGATGCATGGGGTGACGGTGGAATGGGTAAAAATGTTCCTTAAATACCTCACCTTTCTGGAAATCCCTATGGTTCATAACACACACACACAATCTGTCTGAAATTTGACAGGTATACGTCTCTCTTTAGTGTCCACTGATGACTCCAAATTTCATTTAATAATAATCACATGCCATCAAGTCAGTTCTGACTAAAGCAATCTTTTCAGGGTTTTCCAAGTCCAATAGAATGATTTACCCTTCCCTTCTTCTGGGACGGTGCAGTTAATCCAAGGCCATACAGGTTGGCTCTGCTCACAAGAGGGACAGTGTGGAACCAAATTCCCAACCTAAACCACTGAGCTATCAAGCCAGTTCTGAGCAAAACCCCAAAAATTACAGCAATTTTGGTTTTCCAATGCAAGCCAATAGAGATATACAAATCAATTCAGGTGGGGGGGCACAAATAACTCTGGAACAAATTAGAATATTTTTCAAAGCCCGGATTTAGCATCCAAACCAGACTAGGAGGTCTGTGCATAAATCTGGGAGTGGCAAAATTCAAATGCAACGCCCTCCTCATCATTGCTCCCACTGCCACATCTTCAAGTAGAGTGCAAAAATTCAGGTAGCTGTGTTGATCATTTCAACAAACCGTTTCTAGCAGTTTTCATCTCTGCCAGGAGGTCATTTTCTGTAAAGCTAACAGGTCTTAATGGCCCAATTCAAGATCAAACTAATCCCCAAACAGAATCATTTTGAATAGATTGCAGTCGATTACAACCAGAAAACCTCTTGTTGTAATCCACTAGTCGCCTGTACTGTCATAGGGATTTCATTTAAAGACTGCTCTAAAGCTGAGCTCACCTCCCAGTGTGCCCAGACTACTTAAGCACTCAGGTGCTTAAGAGAGCAGTGATTTGAATGTCTCTGGGCAAGTGCAGATAATTTTTCTTGCACCATTGACAAGGCCAAATCAAAAGGTGTGAAGCCACACACAACACAGCGGTGAGGAGTGAGTTCTTGCTGACATATACAGTATGACGTGCTATCATGGCTTTAGTATACAGCAAAAAGGTCAATGCTTTAATTACAAATTTAAAAGGACTCTCCAGGAATACAGCAATGAATGAAGGATGCCGGGGACCATCAGTGTTCTCATGGTGCTTTTTTTCCTGGTGGAATAAAAAAAAAGATGTTTTCATGTCTGCTGGTCTCTGTTCTTGAAGGATATACATTGTTCTCAGTGCATTGCACTGTTCTCAGCACAACAGACAACCTACAGAGGATGACAAAGTAGGTGCACGTGAAAGAGTGATAATCAACAATGCTTGCCAGCAAGGGCCGGCTCTACCATTAGGCAGACTGAGGCAACTGCCTTGGGTGGCCGATGCTGTGGGGTAGAGGACCGGCAAGGGGTTTGGAGGATTGTTTGGCATCTGCCACAATCTGCCCTGCAACCCTACCTTGGCATGCTGCTCTCAGAGGTGGTGGAGGATGCTGCTTGGCACCAGGCAGCTCCTGTATGAGGTACTGGGGATGCTAGGGTGGGGTGAGTGGGGGGCAATGTGTCTCAGGAAGCAAAACCTTTTCGCCTAGTTCTGTCAGCAGCAGCAGCTGCCTGCCTCTTGGGACTGTAGTTTCTCTGCAACCATTCAGTTATTCCTGATGAAGAACTTTGTGAGACTGGGATCCTGGCACACATTTCCTTGCAACCAACTGCTAGTCCCATTGCTTTCATTTCTTTATGTGTGTGTTCTTGTTGGGGCCAGTCCTTCCCTGTCTTCCCAGTCTCAGGTGCTACCCCCACCCCCGAGATGAGAAAGATGTCTCTGGTGAGCTGGCTTGCTAGGATGGCAAGAGGCCAGCCCCTGCCGTAATCCCAAACTGAGATTAGAACTCAGCTGTGTTTATTATTCAGCCCTGGAAAGCAACCCGGTCTCTTTTGCTTTTTGGCTCTCACCTGGAAGGCTTAGCAGCAGCAGAATGAAGGGGAAGACGGCCGAGCGGATGCAGAAGACCACAGCGCGGGAAGCCAGCGGTGCATTGTCTGCAGGACCACAACTAAGGGCTCAGGAAGGTAAAGACCAGAAGCTAGAAGGGAGGTGTAGGGCTGGTTTTAAGGGCTGTGTGTGCGCGTTTGGTTCTGTGGGGAAGTATATGGAATAAGCAGAAGGATGATGGGGGGAGCTGCTTAGCTGAACTGCAACTGTGGATACCACATGGCTGGAGATTCTTACTCAACAAAGCAAATTGTATAGTCCTAACATTCTAATCAAAGCGCCGGAGCACTTTAACGAAGTGGCTGAAAGTCCCCTCACGCCAAAGAGCTTGTGGCAAATAAAACAGGTTAGTCGTTAGAGGGCCAGAAGGCTCTTTGTTAGATTTGCTAAAATTCTGGAGTATTTGGAACAACTGAAATGTCACTCACATTCGGGGAGTGTGTGCACACATATGTTTGTACATGCACACACACAAACCGGGAGTGCAACGCTGACAGAACTAGAGTCACTTCCGAGAGGCGTGCGTAATTGTACAAATAACCCTTTAGTTTTGTCATCTACCTACATCTTGGGGCTTCAGTAGCAGATAGATAGTGGAACTCTCCTAATGGCTGGGCTGGAATGTGTGTGTGTGTGTGGGGGGGAGAGCATTCCATTTAAATCAGGATGAAAAGTAAGCTTTTGATTTTCATAGCTCTTTCAGATGTACTTCTCCACCTTCTCCTTGGTTTTCCACATTCAGGGTACCCCAAGCGATGTACCGTAGCCACAAAGTTGGAGGGCATAGACTTTAGCAGGGGTGATGATTTTTGGATTAGCAGGGATATTTTCCTCCCACCCTCTGAATTGTTTTTCAATCCTTGTAGCAGCTGATGGAAGGATACACTCCCACCTCCTGCAGCAGCTGTATATTTTCAGGGGCTATCCTATTGGAATAACAAAGTTTCATGGGTGGTGGTGGTTACTTGTTCTTGAATGGGCAATTCAGATGTATTAGCATTACAAAAGATTTGCTCTTGGGAAGACTGCTAGAATGAGTTAATTGTTTATTATATCCTGTATTTCCCTCAGTGAGTTCAAAGCAATTGCATTTAGTTGTCATCACCTGTGCTTTTTCTTCACAACAACCCTTTGAGGTAGGTCAGGGTAAGAGTATGAATTTCATTGCTCAATGAGGACTTGCATGTGGATGCCCCAAGTCTCACCCCAACACTTTAATCACCACAGCAGGCTAGATATTATCCCCTGAGTCCTAGTCTAATTTCTACAGTTCACTGGTATCCTGAGAGCTTACAGTCATATCTGCCCAATTGCTGGTGGAGACAAGTGTTTCCAATAGTTATTCTCTCTCAACCAATCTAAGCCATTTCTGGCCATCTCAAATTAACTGCTGTCCTCACAGCTAGCCTATGTATAGAATAGTTTCTTTGCAAATCCCCACTAAATATATTTCAATGATATACTTCTGTTGTAATGAAAAGGTTTTCAGGGAGCTTGGTCTTAGGATAAGCAATTAAGAGCTGTTAGCTTTACAGAAGACTTGCTCCTCATGGTAATGAAAACTGCTAGAACTTGTTTGTGACATGGATCAACACATCAAACACAGTCACTAGCATTTTAGGATTCTTTTTTGGGGCTGTTAATTTACAATTATATAGGCACGATTTACTTACTATTCATAACTGGATGGTGACATTGAGTTTGATGAGATTGAAATACCTCCTAGGGGCTCTAATATGTTATGCACAAATCACAGGGAGTAACTGCTATTTAAATTTATCAGATGTTAAGTATTTTTTTAAAAAAATTCTTTTATTTCTGTCTTACGTCTCTTGTTTTTCTTCTACTTAGGATATTTTCCCTTCTTTCTCTCTTACTCTTTTATTTTAATTATGCCCTATATTTTTCTTTCCCTCCATAGTAAGTCTGCATAGGCTTTGCCTTCGGTATAAAATCTGAAGTGGGATTTTTAGAATTAAAAGTGTTAAGTGACCTAAATTTGGATGAATGATCAAGTGGCTTTAGCTTCCCCTGCGATTAATTCCTTCCCCCTCCCAAATTAATCTGAATGACCAGCTGTTGAACTAAAATTGTTGAATACAAATACCCGGGTATAAACATGGAGATAAATGTCTTTTTAGAGTTCTCTTTTTCCCCTCCCTGCCCTCACCTTTGTGATAGAGAGTTTACACAACCACAAGTTTGTGGGGGGGGGGAGGGGGCAAAAGGACAGGTCTGAGTAGATCTGTGGTGTTCTCTCACACATCCTTTCTAGGACAATTTTTGCCATAATTCTTCAAAATTTCCCAAAATTTGATTGACTAACTGAAAGGGTGCAAAATGTTTGAAAGCTTTAGCCAGTCATTCTGAAAAATGGGGTGGAGTGAAGGAAAGAATGGGTAGGAATTGCCCATCATATGTGTCTGAAGCTGATGGATTCTCAGTGAAACCCTTTGGACCCTATAACCCAGGATTGCTTTTATGGAGTTGGGCCAGCTCTGTGAGGGTTTTACCAATTCTGCCTCCTCATGAGTTTCCAATGGCTGAGTGGGGATTTGAACCCAGGTCTGCTGATTCCTAGTCCATGACTCTATCCATTACACCACACTGGGCACTACATATCTACCCATGACTCTATCTGCTACACCACACTGGGCACCACATATCTACATACAGTACTAATCTAGCAAAAATCAGGTTGGGATCACAGGGCACGTAACTCACCCATGTTATGGACTCCCTGCATCTCCTTACATGTTCAATCAAGTGTATTTTGAATTAAATATTCCCAGTACTGAGGCAGTGACTGCTACTGGTTTTGCAGCCAAGGTGGAACAGTTTGCCCACAAAAAGAGAGGTACTAATAGGCCAGGGGAGCCCTGAGAATTGTGGAAATTACAGGAAAATCATGTATTATTTATGTCTTAGCTACATTTCTATCCCTCCTTCCCTCCAATGAGCTTTTGGTGGCCTACATGGCTATCCTGTTCCCCATTTTATCCTTCCAACAACCCAGTGAGGCAGATCAGATTGAGAGAAAGTGATTGGCTCATGGTAACCCAGTGAGTTTTTAATGATACAGTGGATCCTGTTCCCCATTTTATCCTTCCAACAACCCAGCGAGGCAGATCAGATTGAGAGAAAGTGATTGGCTCATGGTAACCAAGTGAGTTTTTATGATTCAGACATAGATATGCTAAAATGAAGTCCAGATCTTGAACCGTTACATGACACTAGCGAAGAAAGAAAGAATTCTACAGGACAAGGATACAAAAGATAGCTCAGTGAGGATTGATCATTTTCACTGATTATAAATGAAAAAAAATGTACTGGTCAGTTTGGAAATTTAGGCGCTCATCATGGTAGTCCCAGTCACCAGGCAGATGGTTCGGTCCATGTTGACAAATTAGGAGCAGGTCTTTTGTAAAGCCAATGGCTCTTAATTGCCCATTCAGTACTACTCTGATATACATTGTATTACAAGAAAGATATATTGTTCCTGGGGAAATCCATTTCTTTCTGCTACTACAAGGAGTGTATTCAAGGAGGGAACAAGGAAGCCGAAGGCTACTGGGGTGGACAATGTCATCATCCCTGTTAATTCAGAAGTCCCAGGGCTTCAAGACCTGGCTTCACTACACAACTGAATAGAGTCCTGACATTTGATGGGGAAGAGATGGAATACAAGGAAGCCGAAGGCTACTGGGGTGGACGATGTCATCATCCCTGTTAATTCGGAAGTCCTGGGGCTTCAAGTCCTTGCCTTCACTACACAACTGAATAGAGTCCTAACATTTGATGGGGAAGAGATGGAACATGAGTGGAAAGACTGAAGGGAGGAGATGGGGATAGAGTGGTTGTGAGCAGCAAGATTCATACTGACTACAACATTTTGTTGCAGACCCTGTTTCTTTTCTGCCGACATGGGGATGCTGGTCAGGGGGTTGTGGGAGTTGTAGTCTACCTTGCTGGGTTTTTTTCTGAGCACTGCTTTTGTTACACAACACTGGCCTCATTTGTGCCTTATCCGTCAAAACCAAAGCATATCCCCCGAATCTCTCTCTGTGTGGGTTGTGGGAGTTGTAGTCTACCTTGCTGATTTTTTTTCTGAGCACTCCTTGTTACACAACACTGGCCTCATTTGTGCTTTATCCGTCAAAACCGAAGCATATTCCCCGAATCTCTCTCTGTGCCCTTACTCATCTGCCCTTCTCTTCAGGATTAATAGCATCCCAGCTGTGAGAAGAAGCTGAAGCTGGAGGGTTTCAGCCAACCACTGATCGGCTTTGGCCTCCACTCCTCGTAATCCCTGCATACGTACAGAGTCTCTGGTTGGTCGCAGGAGCCAGGGAAGGTGCAGAAAGGTCAGCCTTTGGCTTGTGCTGAGCATGGTCTCTGGATCATTACAGCTTCAACTTAGCTTCTGCTTGTGAACCTCCTCTGACTGTACTGGTAGCCGAATTTTGACAACATCCCTCCACCCAGAATTAGGAAAAAGTTCCTTTTTGGGAGACTGAAATTCCCAGAATTATTTCTCCAAGGAAGTAACTTTTTTGGACTGCAGTTCCAACCACACATGGGGAAAGCAGGTTGGCTTGAAAGGGGCCGGGAGTCTGATGCTGTTTTCCTGCCTCAGGTCTCTGACACCTGAAGAGACCACTCTCTCACTCCACCTACTATGTATATGTGGGGCATTAGAACATACACACAGTCGCCAGATGTCCTTCGGTGAAAACTCCCAGAAGCCTTCACCACCAGCTGTGCTGGCCAGGGTTTATGGGAGTTGTAGTCCAAGAACATTTGGGGACCCAAGGTTGGGAAGCATTGCTCTAGTGGGTGGTTCTCAGAGTCTTCCAGCCAGTATAGTAAATTTACTTACTAGGTTTCTTTATTATGAACTAGAAATGTCTGTAGGAAGGGGGTGGGGGTGGGGGAGAACTGTTTTTCTTCAATGGAAAATTTTCCAAGCCTATTGGCCTGTGGTCTATGCCTGGGGAAACGCCCTTGTTAGAAAAAAGATGAGAGGCAAACTTTATTCTTGGCACAAGTGCAATGTTCCTTGATGCAAAGTATAGAGATCATAGAATTATTGAATTGGAAGGAGCCTATAAGGCCATCGAGTCCAAACCCCCAATGCAGGAATCTAAACCAAAGCATATCTGAAAGATGGTTGTCCAATTTTCTCTTGAATGCCCCCAGCATGTATTTTTAAATATTTTTACAATCGGACACTGAATCCCTTTCCCAACATGAATGCTTGTTCAGTCAGGAAGGAGTTAAAATGTCCTTCTGATCGTGGGATGATAAAATTAAGAAAGCCTATAAAGTAGGAGTGGGCAAAGTGCAGCCATCCAGATGTTGCTGGACTGCATCTCTCAGTAAGCACTAGCCAGCATTGCCAGTAATGAGGGATGCTGGGAATTGTAGTCAAACAGCATCTGAAGGGCACCCTTTGCCCAACCGTGGTATGGTGAGAAAGGGAAGTGAGAAAAATGCTTTCCAGATCCCTGCAGAGCTAAGCTTTCTGGCTTCCACTATAAAAATACCAACAATTATTGTACTTCCCCTTCACTTTTAGCACCTCTCCCCAGAAGACTGACTGGGAGAAAGCTCGATGCAAGCAATATCCTGAAGCGGAAAGCGGGAAGATCAAAGATATATGATTGATGCATCGTCTTGCCAAAAGGGCCTCGGCTGCTGTGCTCCTGTTACAGGCTTTCTCCATCTGATCCATTTCCTCTTCTCCTGTTCACTCAAGTTGCTTGTGCGATACTCCAAGGCTAAAGTCCAAGGAAGCTCTTAGCTAATCACTTGACAAAGAGTTCTTTGTTACTGTAGTTCTTCTGAAGAAATCTGAGACTCCCTTTTCTCCCATCTCTGGGAGCTGATGATGATCTGAAGTAGGAGGAGTCCTGATACTAGGATATCTATTCCTTCTCCCGTGGTTCATTTATGGTCTCACAAGAGCACAGCAAAAGCCACTTCCCAGCGTTAGGCCCAAGAGACATGTTGCTTGTGTGTCTCGCTTTCCTCTTCCTGTCTGTCCTTGGGACACAGGCTTCCCAAGCTTGCCCTCACCTGTGCTTCTGCTACGAATCTTCCAATTTTGTGGACTGCCATGGACGACACCTCCCTCGCATCCCGCATGGTATCCCTCATAACACATGGATGCTGGACCTGAGGCACAACAACTTGAGTGGGCTGGAAGGAGGCTGCTTTGATGCCCTGTGGTCCATGAAGATCCTTCTGCTGGGCCACAACTCGATTATCAGAATCTGGACCAAAGCCTTCAAATCTCTCAACTTCCTGGAGAAGATGGATCTCAGCCACAACCTTCTGGCCCATCTGCCTCATGACTTCTCAGATGACTTGACCTCCCTCAAGGATCTCAAGGTGGCTCACAATCATCTGGGGGCCTTGGGTTTTGAAAGTCTCCAGTACCTGGAGAACTTAGAGAAGTTAGATCTGAGCCATAATCGTGTGACTTCAATTGAGAAGGGAACTTTCCGGGGCCTTTCTAGGCTCCGACACCTCTACCTTCAGTTCAACAGGCTTGCGGTTGTCCACAATGGCTTCTTCTTTATGCTCCAGAACCTGGAAGTCCTGTTGCTTAGCAACAACAACATCAGTTCCATTGAGGTGGAGGCCTTCACCTCTCTGCACAACATGAACCTCTTGGGCTTGACTGGCAACCAGCTCATCCATCTCAAATTTAAGACTTTCCTCAACATCCAGACCATCAGCACCCACATCCAGCTGGCAAACAACCAGTGGGCCTGTGACTGTGACCTGCAGCGAGTGTTTGGTAAGCTCACAAGCGTCCGACACCTCCACGTGGACGACTATGAGAACATCACCTGTGCCAGTCCATGGCAGCTTGCTGGCTTGCCCCTCATTTCTGTGGACAGTCAGTTGTGTGTGGCAGAGACGGCCACGGTCCTGGTGATCACTGTCACGGTCTTAGTGACGGTGATTGCCGCCATTGTGATGGCCGAGAGGAACAGGAAGAAGAACCAAGAGAAGAACTGGAATGAATCAGAAGCTCCCTTTGACGTGCACGAAAAATAAATGGAGGAAGGGAGGTGGGTGGTGGGGAAGAGAGAGAGAGAGCTGAGTCATGGAAAAAAAATGGACTTCTAGTCATCCTCAAGCCTGCCCGATTGTGAGGGGGATTCTGGGAAGGGTCATCCAGACCATGATCTTTTCCAACCTCTACTCTAGACATCCTGTTTTAAGTCTTATCAAACAAGGTGCCATCCAGGTGTTTTTTAGAATAGCTCCCATTGCCTCTGACTCAGCATGGAACATGGACTGAGCAAAAGGGAGTCTCATTTCCAAAATGTAGCTCTGTTACTCTACTCAGGAGCTTCTTAGGCTCTGACCATCGACCATCCTGGCTGAGGCTGACAGAGAGCTATAGTCTAAAACATCTGGCGGGCAGCTTCATTTACTGTGTGGTTGGTGTGCTATCCTGCTGCTCATGTTTTTACCCTCCCCCCGATATTTCTTGCTGTAATAGCTCTGCAATCATCTGTTTATGAATGTATTAATTCCAGTTACATCCTACTTTTGCAGTAGGGAGCCCACGGCAGCATACAATGGCTCTGTTTCTCTCTCTTTTATCCCCACAACAACTATGTCAGGTAGATCAAGCGAAGAGATAGGGACTGACTCAAGGTTATGGAGTGAGTTTCATAGCTCATTTGGAATGTTATAACCTGCCACTCCTGTATCTCGACACCCATCACTTTCTCCCATTGGTTCCCTTTTTGTGAGACTGCAACATTTGAGACACCAGCCAGCATTGGGTCCTATTCCGTCAGGGACCATCTGTTGAGGGCCACATGCTGATGGCAAGGGGGGCCAAGCCAGCTGTGGATACAGCTGGAATTCATAGTAGGTGAACTCCATCCTTTTCTCTCCATCCCTCCCTCCCCCCATCTTTCATCCACAACTAGATGACTACAGGTGAGGGAAGGGATCACTCTTTCAGAGCCCTTCTCTAAGGCAGTTGGAGGAGGCTGGCTTTTGAAATTATGGTGAGGGCATGGCCTGCATGTAGATCTAGGGCTGCCAGTTTCCCACCTCTCCTCTGGAAATGCCATAGCTGAGGGTCAAAACAGACAATGCAGTTAGCATTATGGCTAGAAACAGATTCCTTTACAAGTTCAGATTTGCTCATTTGTCCCGACATGAGGATTCTACCTCCATGAGTTTCAAATTAACTAGCTTTTGTTTTGCGATTGATGGTTGGCAATTAAACACAGACCTCATCTGCAGGTGTGATTGAAGGAACTAATCTCAGGAGCAAAAAAATACTTTATCACCTTCTAACAGTTCTACCCTCCGATCCATGGGAAATCAGCAAAGCTCCTCTGCCATTTCTTCTGGAGTTGGGTAGCTAATTTTTTTTAATCAATTAATTGGCCTTTAGGAAAGATACAGGAATGTAAATTGTGTCTGGTTTTGCAGACTTCCAGGAAATTGAAAAAGGCACTTGAGATCTTTCAGCTGCTATTGGGCGAGGCAACTTGATTTATAAAATGGCTTCTTAAATTAATCTCATACAGGCTTTCAGATTGGGCTGATCTGAAGATAGAATATAACAAATATGGTAGGGCTGCCTTATCCACAGAATCAGTACCTGCTGATTCACTTATCGACTAGCTCAAAATACTAAATAAAACCTCCCAGAAATACCAATTTGTATGTATATCCAGGGTGTATATACCAGAATTGGTCACTAGAGAGAAACAGAGACCATGAAATGTACTGTATAGCAGTGGGCCCCAACCTTGGGCCTCCAGATGTTCTTGGACTTCAACTCCCAGAAATCCTAGCCAGCAGAGGTGGTGGTGAAGGCTTCTGGGAGTTGTAGTCCAAGAACATCTGGAGGCCCAAGGTTGGGGACCACTGCTGTATAGCATTCAGCACTTTCCCGGCAGGAGGAACTTTGAACTGAGCCGCCACTATAGTACGACATACTATAAACTAAAACAATCAGTGCTCTCTTTTATACCTTTAATATAGCTAGCTAAATGTATTATGAGAAGCAGCCATTGCTTACGAAGTCTGAAGAACAGGCTGGCATTGCTGCACTAGTAGAGAAGCCTCACAAAAACTTTAACACAGTTGTCCTCTCCCTTGAGTCAACCAGCCGGGGACACAGATAAACTCTGTCTGTCATTTTGGCCAGGCCAGATACAGAAGGAAATGTTACAGTTAGTGAAACATCATGTGAATAAGGTACTTCAAGGATAATTGTGAAAGAAGGAAAACTTAAAAGGAATACCAGTTTAAATTCCTTAATTATAGTGCTTTGTGTAACCATCTATAATAACTGACCTCTGCATTTTGGGACTTTGGACTTCTATACCGATACCTTAGAGTGTGCATGTACTGATTTCCCTGCTGGCATTAATAAATGCTTTCCTGAAAGCCTCCTATTTTATTACACCTTCTGGCAGATTTCTAAGGAAAATGTCTCCACAAGTGTGACACTGACCTGGAGTGTAAATGTAAAATAATGTAACACAGATTTTTCAACATACTCCGGAGCAATGCATGTAACCTTCATTTTCAAAATGGAAGTTTGAGCAAAACTGCATACCGAGGGACTGATTGTGTAAAGAAAGGGTCTGGTGTGTGTTCTTGGACAGAGTCTTCCACTTTGGGGGCTACCATCTCCCAGAATTCCTCATTCTGGTCCCCCAAAAGCAACATTTCCAATCTCTGTGGATATACAAACAGAAGGAGTGTGAATTATGCCTGTTCTTCTGGATTGCCTCTGACAGCCCACACAGTTCCCATGATGGTCCCGATCCTACCTCTTGAAAGGGCAGCCCCAGAATCTTAGAAGGTTACATGGGGATAATGCATCCAACTTCTCTTGGATTCCCCCACTCCTAGATTTCTTAATTTCCATTTGTGCAGTACATATAAATTAGCCTAAACAACGTTATGCAAATCCATGTCCTTTTGTGTTTGTGTGTGATTAATGAATGGCCACCCTTGACCTTTGCCAGTCTGATGCAGCAATTAGATTCAGCCTCTATTATTAGGAAAATAAGAGATCGAAACTATAGTCAGTCAGTGATTTTTGGCCAGTCATGTTTTCCCAACTTATTAGCCTATCATGCCAGATTGTTGTGAAGCTGAAAGAGAGCAGTGGTGGATGACAGGAGTTTCCTGGAGAAAGAATGGAATATAAATTATTTTTGACAATGTCTGAACTAAGTTGCAGCCATTTTGCGGGTTGATTATGGAGCCTTGTGGTACCGTGGTTAAATTGCAGTACTGCAGTGAAGACTCTGCTCACGGCAGGAGTTTGATCCTCGGCTCAGGTAGCCGGATCAAGGTTTACTTAGTCTTCCATCCCTCTGAGATCAGTAAATTGAGCCCCCAGGTTGCTGGTGCGGGCGGGATTTCAACATATGCCCTCTTTCATGATTCCTGCATTGTAGTCACCACTTCATTGGCACAGGGGCCACCAGCCTCCATTGTCAACAAGGAGTTTGCAATTTGACTGCAAATGATTAAAGAATGGAGTGGTTGTAGGGATGTGGAGAAATGTTGCCACTTGTCTCAACATGGTAAGACACCTTATCCAGCATTCTGGATAATCACTGCATTGAGGGGTAATTCCGATCTGTGCTGAACTGGGCACATTATTTTTCCTCCTCTATGTTTCCTACAGTTTTCCCAACAAGGTCTTCAAAGAAGATTCACATCTTTCCCTTTGTGAAGTGAACGACATACAACAAGCACAAAATGGCAGATGGATTGAGCGTGAAGATATTACAGCTTTTACTAGTCAATTCAACAAGCTAGCACTTATCACTTTCAAATTTGACAAATTTATTGAGATGTATGCAAAAATCAGCTGTGGGGAATGCACAAATTCTGAAACTGACAAAATAAAATAAGCATTGCTTCTATTTAGCAGAAAGATTCATTAGGTTTTTGCTTAGAAAATATTACTTACATATAATCCTTCCCTGCCTGAAGTGCGCTTTCCTCCTGCCATTGCAGTTAGTGGTCACCAGAGGGCGCATTTCACCACCTTTCCATTCATGAGCCTCATTTTGTCAGTCAAGAAGGTTCCACTTTTATACAACTCTATATGCATGTAAAGTGGGTTTTATTGGTCCCCTTGCTTCCATCTGTTGTGGCCCCTTCCAGCATAAGATGTCTTGTAATATGTTTTCAGGGACGACCCAAAATGCTTTGTTGTTTGAAGCGAGACAGCAAATGGTATGTCTCTCCCTATCCACTCAAATGAACTGCAGGTACCTAAAGCCGGCAAAAAAAAGCCACAACAGCTTCTCCCTATACCTAGCATTAAAAATACAATGAAAATAAATGCCTAACCATTGTCTGCCCTTTCGTAACACCCAAAATCTGCTACCTTGTGTGGTTGCCTCACACTTCCTAATGGGAGTGCTGGTCTTTAACATTTTTTTTAAAAAAAACAATTTCCAAGTCAAGGAAGTCTGATCAGCAGGAGGTGCTTAGCAGCTGAGAATGAGACACTCCACCCCACCCCCCCAAACAGGATTTTTAAAAAAGTCCTGTGGTCCTTTGCTACTAACAGATTTATTATGACATAAACCTTGATGGCATAAGCCACAATAAAGCTGTTAGTTTTTTTTTAAGATGGCATAAAACTGTCTTATTTCTTGCTGCAACAAAATGACGCAGTACAGCCCCCTTTGGAATTTGTCACAATGAACGCTGTAGAGCAGGCGGGAGATCTTTCCTTGGCAGCTAAAAGAACACGTTGTTGCCAGGGGCCGGAAGCAAGATTATCCCTGGGTTTGTTTCTTCCAGTGCAGAGTGGCAGAATTCCGGCCATGTCACACCTTCTGACACCTATCATTCTGGGCAGGGTGTGCTCAAGACATTTTGCTGTCTGAGTCAAAGAACAAAGTGGTGCTTTGTAACAGTTTCCCCTGTCCTGAAGCCGTGTGGTCAAGTCTCTCTCATCTTATGGTCATTCTAGTAAGGTTTTCAAGCTATGTGCGTGAGTGCCCATGGCTGAGCCGGGATTTGAACCCAGCGTTCCACGTTTCCCGGTATGACACTTTTAGCTATGACACCACACTGGTGTTCAGAAAGGGCTGGACTGAGCCAATTCTCTTGTAAATCACATCTGCTCCTCTTGGGGGTTGGAATTCCCATTAAAGCTGAGTGGTTAAGGGATCTGGCTGTGGAGCCAGAGGTTGGGAGTTTGATTCCTCACTGTGCCTCTTTGACAAGGGCTGGATTCTGTGATCCCTACAGTCCCTTCCAGCTCTGCAGTCCTAATCCTAAAATAAGATTACGCAGAGTAAAGTGGTGGGAGTTTGATTCCTCACTGTGGCTCTTTGACATGGGCTGGACTCAATGGACTTATCTCAGCTCTGCAGTGCTAAGATAAAATAAGATTACGCAAAGTGACCACCTCAGGTGGCAGATGCTGAATCCCTGCACTTCTGCTGCACAGCTAGAGGAATTTAACCAAAAAAATTCAAAAAACTGCAACAGCAGCTGCCTCACTCCACTTCATCATAAGGCCAATCCTTCCTGTGAAGCCACATCCTTTTGAGTATCATGGAGCTTTTACCTTCAAGCAGAATAAATAGATGTCTTCTAACAGAGGTTTCTACTGACCTCATATTTTCCCATTGTATATAAACTTAGAAGGTTGGCTGGACTAGGGAGCGAGGAATGGCTTTATTTTGGGACTAGTAGGTTTGTAATGGGATCACCTACAGCTGAAGGAAAGATGATTGGGGAGGTTTATTTGCTGCTCTCCCAGGAGCTATTGGAAGTCTTTTGTTTCGGGAGGGAGAGTAGGAAGAGGAGGTGAGTTAGGATCACCCCAAAATAATTTGCAGCGGAAGTTGGGAGGAGTGGCACAGTGATTAAACAGTCGTATGGCAGCCAAAACTCTGCTCATGGTTAGCGTTTGATACCAAGGGATCCTAGTCCATCACTCTACACACTATATCACATTGGGTATCCTGTATTTTCACCTAGGCCCTACCAAATTATTGTGGTTCCTGAGGCAGAAGATTTCCCCTCCCCGATAAGCAAAATTCCAAAGATGGAAAACATTGGGTTGGTGTCTCGTCCCCGTTTCCCCCCCCCCATTAATGACTATGGAATTGTGGGAGTGAATTCTCCCACTTGACTGTTGTGTCTTGCTATTTTTGTATTTTAAATCATAAACCTGCCCTCAGCGCACTGAAGAAATAGTAGCATATGGATACAAAAACAGACACTCTCAGAGTAATCTCTTCCCCATGCTCAAAAACGTGATTGTAAAAAAGGAACAAAGGTCTTGCGGCACCTTACAGACTAAGAAATTATATTATGGCACAAAGCTTTTGTGGATGGCAGCTTACTTCATAAGATCAGTGAAGTGTGACCAGTTGTCAGGCGTAAAATAAATTGTAAACGTTGGAGTTACAGGACAATGGTTACAGGAAAAGTAGTTTGTGACAATTCAATTAGAGCTTAAACAGCAATTATTGTGCTCCAAAGACTTACTTTCCACATATTGTTATTCAATTCTTAAAAAAAACACCTCTAGTTAATGAATGGGGGATATCGTGTTTCTGTATCCACAATTCAAAACACCAAGAAATGGCCCAATATTGCTGCACAATATCGTATCCTCCTTGTTGATGGAAAAGAATGTCAAGCTTTACATAGAAAAGAACAACCTGAATGTTAATAACACCAATGACAGCTGTTAAGATGGTCTACAGCAGGGGTC